TGGTAGCGCACTTCGTTCAGTACATATTGCTCTTATTCGAAATACAATTCTACCCAGAACACCATATCTGTGTACAGTAGTAAATACATCCATTTACAATCCTGGCTCTTGAATTTGAGTACGTATACCTCTGGCATTTGTTGAAATAGTCCATAACTGCAAAACATATTTGTTTCCTAGCATTTACTGATAAAGCCGACCAGCTACATCATTAGCAGTATCAAGCAGCACTACAGGTATTTTGCTTCATCTGACCGCGATTCCTGCACCTCGCCCTTTTAGCAGCAATGCATAAACTGGTAACGTCCACTCCCTAGTAGTGACGACAACCAACTCAGCAAAATCTTTGATCATTGTACGGTTCATTTCCAGAAACTTGAGTGCTACTTTCTGAACGCTATAAGTACTCAGGAGAATGCAGCAGCCACACCATACATGCTTCGTGCTCTCTCAAACTGTGAGACCTTGTACTGAAGTTCACATGCTTCCTGATCTTCAGTGAGACCCCTGCGTTGACGCCGCACATCAACTCGTTCAACTGTGAGACATTTGTGTCTTATCTTCTTGCTCTTCCGACTGAATGACGCACGGCTGTTTCACGCTTCTCCTCTCCCTTCGCAGAGACACCTGCATTTAACATATGCATGTCCTGGTCTTTCGCCTGCAAGAGACGCTGTGCTGGTATACAAGCTTTCTGAATGCACTCCCTATTGTTGAGATTTTTATTCTGATATAAAGCTTCTTGCTTTTTCTGACTGTGATACTGTACAAGCTTCTTGCTCTTATTACTGTGAGACCTTTTACTGGTTCACGCTGCACTCTTCCAGCGAGATGCCTGTGCTGGTATACAAGCTCGCGCTCTTCTGGTACTTACAGCACTTTAATGCCATGCATTTGCTCCTCAAAACTGCGTCGTGTACAGCCCGTCATATTTATAACAGCGAATTTTGGTAACATTCTTATCTTCATTCTCCTTCCTTTATTCTGGTAAGAAGACGCAATGCAACATTGTATTTTCCAGCTCACTTTTTCAGTTGTAGATGCTGAAATCGCCATTGCCATTTTAAACAATTTTCTGTTTGAAATTTATTTGGCAATCCCGCTACGGCACTGGTATGGCAGATTTCTCGATAAATAAATGCACTCTTGCTTAACTCGATCTTTGAATTTCGTCATGGGTGTAGGTGGTATGCTGCTATACGCTATACGGCTGTATTTGACAATTTGCTTGCCAACGCCGCTATTCAGAGTTTACAACTTATGTTCGGTGGGCGGTGGGGACTCTTTTCGAAACATTCACAACGCTACAAATTCATTTTATGTCAATTCAAATTTGTTTTTCGTAACCGTACTCGCCACAACATATTTGCTTATGACATTCTGCTCACACAGTACAACACGCCCGACAGTCAGCACCATACATCAGTCATCATTCAGGAATTTTGCCGCTACAACAACAGCAACACACGGTTTGTTAGCGATAACATAATGATATTGCTGGATTTCTCCATAAATCGTCTACCTTGTAACTCACTCTTGAGCTAGATCACTGGATTGTTAAATAAATTCCCAATTTAATGGCTATACACTTATCTTTATTTCTAATTTAATAACCTTATTATTTGTGATTCAGAGCCACCCAATATTATATTTAATTTCTATGTTTATTTTACGATTCTTGTGTTTTCAATTCAGTTTCTTATATGTAGATTGTCTCGCATTCCATTTCGCCATACATTTCCCGCTATACAGTTTCTGGTAGGCACAAACATATGTTAAGTTATCTACATGCTTGTTGTTGTAAACTGCAGTCTTCCAGTTCACTATTCTCCTGTGCTGATCTGCGTGTATTAATATTTGTGCATATAAAGTTCTGGCAAATCACATTTGACTTTGTCATCGATCAGCCAATAGCCAGGAAGGTGCAGGATACACTGCGGTAAGTGAAATATATTATAGTTCTTTATGAGTGAATAATTTAAATGCTTGTGTGTTCCGAAATAAACCGCAAACCAAATATGCGTTAAATTCCCCACATCATCGGTGACAAATTCTTTATTTCGCATGACCAAACGTTTGCGTGTTTGGTTTGTGAAGTGTTTTCGATGCGTAAGTCACGCCGCCGCCAGACCAGCCAGTTCGGCGACATGGATGGCGGTCTTCCTACATCATCTGCAGCATCGTCAAAACCTAGCCAGGGTAACAATGCATCAGCCACCGCCAACACCAGCCACTGGTTACCAGCCGCTCCACCACAGCCACCGGAGCCACCACTAGAGCATCATCAAAACCCAGCCAGGGTAGGAATACATCCGCGCCAATGTAATCAGTGATTTACCAGCCGCTCCTGCAGCCACCACCGGGGCCATAACTCGAGATCATCAGCTGCCTTCGCGTCAAGAAGAGTATTGCCGCTCTGAAACGCATTGCCATGTAGAGTAGTTTGTGATATTAGGAGCACCAATCGTTGGTGAAGCGTCTGTTGGATACATCAACAACCAGATTGCCGCCGAGGTTCCATTATCGCAAACATCGGGACAACAGTACAATTGGAAACCGTTCAATTAACGGAACAACATTCATGACTATAGAAACTGTAAGTACCGTTGTCGCAGTCTACCGCTCCCGTTACCTCCATAAACTTGGAATGGTACATCTGCCACAAACCATGTACGAGTACAACTCATTTGGGGATGTATGCACCATCGATCAGTCTAATTCAGCGACAATGAATTTGCCAATATAAGTTCTACTGCCGCTCAGTCATCGACTTTGCCCAGAGTGCAGGATTTGGCGAACACTGCAGACAGCCGAAGGTGGCCAATATTTTATGCAGCTTTCATCGAGTCAGCCACCGCGATTGCCATTTGGCGGCAAAATAACCAACGGTTGATGAAGAGCCTGAAGGGTTACACGAGTTATGTGTACACTATCATCCCAACCAGACACCAGTAAACATTACAAAATAAGATAACAAGTAGAGATAAAGATATAATGCAAATGCATACAAACATGTTTAGTCCTTCTGTTTGAATGAAATATTGAACATTATCGTTAAACACAATGTTTGTTTGCATTAATAGAAAATAAGATTACATTTAACAATATTGCATTTCATGAAAATAGAAAAACGAAATAGATTAAGAAAGTACCAATCACTTTAGTAGTTATATAAACAGAACATAATTTGAAAAGGTGCAGAATAAATATAATGTCACAGAAGTAACATCGTCAGCATTTTATTTTCACTCCTCAAACAACCAAAACTGGCGCAGTCGGTAAAACAAACTGAAGTTAAGCGATATAAAACTGAAGTTTGCAAGTTTCATAGCTTTGTAACAGGAAGCAAATCCTGAGTGCTCCGTTTAAGATATCTATATATATATAAATATATAAATCGGTCGGCACAGATAGCCAAGTTTAGAAACCCAGGATTTCTACACAGGATTATGGAACGTCGGAGAGCATGACTCCGAGGAGTACAATTTGTGAAGATGAAGAATAACTTCTTTCGCCCATCAACGCATTACCAGGAAAAGTAGAGTTAAGATTAATACACACAGAAGACGCAGAGGCGGGGTCACCATACAAGCAACAACAATGAGTTCGTTGTAAAGGATACATCAGCAAATGAATCAGGCAGGCAGCAACCGCTGGCAGATGACAGGATCGCAAATTTTGAAGGCTTCAGAATCAGCTGGACTTTGACAGCAGAGACTACCATCGTTCATCAGTGTCATCCGGCGCTGGGACCCTGCAACATTGCATAAATGGAGAAGAACTCGCAGAATTTTAGATGTAAAGATAAACACCACTTACTTTACAAAATCAAGGCAGTTGTACTACGAAACTATGGCAATAAGGTAATGTTTGCAAAATTTAAAAGATATTTTGGATAAACTAAATTTAAAGAGCAGATTCGATGGGATAAAGCCTATGAATTTTCTCCAATTAACAACAGAAAGTTAATTCTAAAAACATTTTAAATAGGATACACTAACTTAAGCAGTAGTGATTAGTAGAAATAAGCGCAAAGTGGGGAACTTTAGCGTTTTCAAGAGACAGGTTTGCTAATACAATTTGATAAAGACAAAACCGTTATCAAAGAAATAATTATAGAAATTTTCAAATAGGAAATTCTTTGGCTCACAATTTTAGCAATTTCAATAATAGGCAGTATATGCAAAGTTCAGCAATTTTCAATTTGGACAAAATCAGCGAAAATTTCTTAACAATTCAGCAAAGTATTAATTATCAACCAATATAGCTTCGGACAAAATAAGCCAATGGTCATAACGTCTAGAAGATAATTCAGTCAAGGGGCAACCCCCGAACCGATGGAAATAGATCACGTTCAAAGAACAAGCGATTTTCGATTTTAGCCTAAAACAATCGTTACCGATAATAAGTGACCATAAAAATTCAAAATTTAATGTCTTATTGATACAGGGTCTACAACATCATTGTTAAATATAATGTGTTAAAGATTATAAGATGCATTGAGCTTGATAAATAATACACTTTAGCACCATTAAGGAAAATTTGTCCATAAATAAGAGTTAGTCACTGACACAAACAGATTCAATGAAAAAGTTATATGCATTGGAAACTAACCAACATAAAAATATGCTTTGATGCTATAATGGATGAATATTTTAAAGCCTATTAAAGCAATAATTAATTTAAAAGGGTAATATGAAATAAACGGCAGCAAAATTAAATTTATAAACTCGTACTTACAATTACGAAGATATATTAATATACTTACAGATGTAAAGAGAATTTATGGAATATTTTATCAATCATTGACATGAATAAAGAAAAGCAAAGATTAAGTCATTCTAAAGCAAATATAGCAGATTTATTTTTCCAGAAGGTAAAACCTTTCTCATACTCCTTGAAATTCAGCATGAAATTGTTACAAAGCCAAGTAGACCAACTTATAATAAAATTTATAGATATCCCCAAATTCATAGAAGAGATTAGTAGATGAATGGACGGGATGTTGCTCAGTATAATTAAGAAAGTAACTCCCCGTACAACTCGCCTCTTTAGTTGAACCGAAAACAGACAATATAATAAGAAGAAAAATGGAGAATAGTTATTGCAGAGAATGTAAAATATAGAAGATCAACTACGGACTGGCATTATTAGTGTCAAACCTAACAAATACGACGGTGGCTTCACCACATTCAGCTCCGGAAGGAGAAATTTTAACAGTAGCGGTGAACAGAGCTGAGCATTGAATAAAGTGTATAAGAGACTTGCGTTGATTTTACAGCCGCATGTTACTCTATTGGCTTATATTTTATGCAGCTTATATGCAATCTGTTATTGATATGAATATCATTTTGGGAATTTTACGAAAACAACTGCAAAACTGATAACATTCTAATTAAATAATAGATTTTCAAAATAATATTTATAGTCAGTGAGGCATTTAATAATTTTATTTGATTATTACATAATATAAATTCTTAATAATAAATATTTTGTATTATAATTGTTACTAATAGTGATTAAATTTATTACAACATACGGCCATCTTTTATCAAATTAATCTTATAGTCTGTATGTATATATCTGCACATGCACATTTTAATGTACGGATTAAATTCAATCACCGTTTATCACTTATCAATAGACTATATATGCGCGCATTGGTTATATGTACACATATACATATGTATGTATAAATGACATTGCCGAACAAATAATGTATACACAAACCAACCTACATATATGATACCACAAAAACAACAATCAATTACAAGTCAATATGTCAGCCAAATAGGCAGAAATTAAATTTATAGTAAATCAAACAACAATAACATTTTCATTCGCATGAACAGGCGTACTTTCAACAAACAACCTCTTCATTCATAAAAACAGACACCCTCTCTATCTCCCAGAGCAGCCGTTTGCTAAGCGTCTTTTCGACGATGGCAAAAGCTAAAATCATAAGTGAACAAATTTCTGATGTTCCCTCTAGAAGGGAAAGGTGACAACCCCTCAAATATGGGTATTAAAATATTTATTTTGATAAGTCACAACTGGTATATTTGTCGATTTACAATTCAAGAAACTTTTTAAAGAAAATATTCAATATTCGCTGAATTTATAATATACAGTAAGCCCCAGGTAAGTATCGCTCTTCAATCCCTCTTATCGCGTAATCTTCATCTCACGTTTCTAATTTTTAGGAAAACGGTAATTTTAAATACATAGACGTTATTTTGGGTACCACTCGGCAAGTACCACAATCAACAGCCGCGCTACACAAAATCTGCAACTGGTTTGGCGCCATCAGGATTGACTGTATTTGTCAAAGAACGTTGTATAAATATTCAATTTTTGTACACATCTGCCGTATATGCACATGACCGTTGACTTTGTTCCATTTACGCGTACCACGTTGTATGAATAGGGTTGATTTTGCACTTACCTATGCGATATATGTTTGTAAAAGTGTGTGGTTTCCATAGACAATGAGTGCCTGTTACATACATGTTGCATGTAGACCAAATTAAAATAAATTGACTTTCTGAGTGTTCCTCTAGAAGGGAAAAGTTGCAGCCCGCAAGCCCACAAATACAGAAAAGGCAAAAGTGGCAACAAAGCTTTGTCCATTTAAAATGATATTTAACAATTCAAAAATATTTTCGATGACACCACAATGTTGTGACCTTTGTCGTCGCGTCAGTCCTTCGACACAGTGACTCTTTGACAGAAAACAAAAACGTGAGCTTCGGCCATTGGTTGTCCGTGGCAACGGAGATTTATGAAACAATGGTATACATATTTACCATACATATGTTGCATGCAGACAAATAAATAATTATAATGGTACTCATATTTGTTTACATGCACGCATAATTATACATATATTATGTATAGATATTGCGACAAATCAAGCAAGAGGTGGCACAAAATCTAACCCAGAAATCTGACTGGTAAACAGTCCATTAAATAGATAATTGGGGGCAATCCCGACAGGTGTCGCGCATATGCGTGTTTGAGCATGGAAGAATAATTATTATTAAAATAAAATTTTCTATACAATAAAAATAAAGTTAATACCCTGTATGGGCAGAATATATTCGATTATGAAAGTCGTTTGCGCATTGTAAATATACAGATCTGTAGTACATTCTTAACATTAAAATTAGCATTATTTTTCTCAATTAGCATTGAAATATGGTCTGCTATTTTCAGTCCCTAGTCTTCCGGTGGTGAAATACCCTCATCGTTTCAGTACCCCTTCAGACGTAAAATATTTTGCTAATGGCGCACTGTGAAC